TTGAGCGTTTGCTAAAGTTAGGAGTACGGYGAAATATAACAATAGCGATTGCAACATGCTGCGGCCAGAACGTTGTGTAAACAAGTGTGTTGAACTGTTAGTATGACTGTTAGTGTTGCTGCTACCGTCGCTGCCATAGCTACTTCGCCAAGTGTGACTCCACGCTTTAGCTGGGCGGTGGCCGTTATTGTAGGTATTATTTTGACGTTGTATGTGCACCGTTCGTTGAAGTGCTTCAAAAGTCTTTGCTGGCATTCTGAATGCTGCTGCTATAGCCACTGTTGCTGGAATCCGACTAATTAAATGCTCCGTTCGCTTGGCGTKCAGGGTGCCACCCTCATTCAATAAACCTTTATTTACTCTTATCAAATTCGATTATCCACAAGCTTTGTTGGCGYACTAATTAAGTCTCTTTTCTTTTGCTGCTTTTATTAGGCTTTTGAATTATGTTTTGAAATTTCGCCAACGTTGGTCTCCTCTATTATATTTTACTATTGAGAATCGCATACGTTAGATCTGACGTGCATTTGCCCAGTGTTCTGCTTCATTGTCCAGCGATTATGCGATCCAACAAGCGGCACCAACCAGTAACGTTCCATTTAAAAACACAGCCAGTAATCGAATTGACAAAGCGGCGCTCACTTGTTTACTCACTTATTCGTCCCACAAACGACCACGACGACGACGTTTCACAGCGRCAAAAGCGAGTTGAAAAGCCTGCATTTAACCGAACGTCGTCTGACGGTTGTTACTGGTGTCAGCTATCGTTGTTACTTTCATATTCTCTGTTTATGTGTCGTCGTAAGCCTCTGTCGCATATGTACAGGAAAGAGATCGATGTTGAGCRCACCTAGCGATCGGGGCAAACGTGTTTTTCATTTCATGTTTTCTCCCATTCGTTTGTACATTCCACCGTTCGTAGCTGTATTGGGAACTGATTTGGATTTTACCTGTTTTTGCTTTAACCCGGCTTAAAAWGTATTCGGGCCATTGATGACTAATACCGTACCCTCACTGTTCGACGGCCGACAGCGAAGAGAAAAAGAATATGTGAGTGTGGAAAATATTGCTGAGAACAGTTATTTTGAATACGTAACATGGCTTGTAAGAAAATGCTAACCTCGAGTTTGWATTTTCAATAAATTCTCCTCATTTTCGTTAATTTTTTGAAGGGGCRTTTTATTTTATAACAAAATAAAAATAATATAACTACATTTACATAATTTAAGTCAATAGGCAATTCATTTTGTAAATATTAATGGCAATATATTCGAAACTTTTCCTTCGAAAAAAGATGTTGAGCCGCGAAGAAGAGTTTTCTACTTAAAATTATCTCAAGTCCAAAAACAAAAAAAATTACAACAGACAAAGAACTAGTTAACATTAAGCTTATCGATCCGAACAGGTTTAGATCGCCGAAATAACAACCCTTGATTGGATAAAATCTGGACTAATTTCGTTAACGGAGAACCGGCTGTCTTGAGAACCACCTCTTTGTTTTCCCAGCAAACCCGACTCTTCTAAAACCGCTCTTCCGTCCGACCCCCGCCGAAATGGAACATTTTCTGAACCTGGCGTTAGATGACTTCGATGACAACCATACCACGTAAGCGGAGATTATATAATTACAACCTCAACAAAAAAAACGAAGAACTAGTCTAAATTATGATTTTTTATAAAATGGTGGCTTCCCAAAAAAGTAGTTCTTTGTGAAAAAAGTCACAGTTTTAGGCTTAGAAAATGAAAATCGCTATCAAAATTATTATTCATTCGGTCATAACTTGACAAATATATTKAAGAAACCACGTGAATTTTCAAGTCGATCGGTCCGGAGAAATTTACTCGGAATAAAAGGTTGAGGGCCAATTCCGCTAACTAAAAAAAAAATTTTAAGAAAAAAAAATTACGAATACGCTCATATCTATGAAACTATTTGACGGTTCAACTTCAAATTATTGAAGATTATCATAAAATATTTGGTATGTTCATAAATCAAAAATCGATTTTTCATATAAAGTAAACTGCCGTATATAACATACATTTCTCGTGACAAAAAAAAAATCAAAATTTCCAAAATACTGGTTGTTGACATCACTAGGCAGTGAACCATCCAACCTTCAGTTCAGAKCACATTAACTCACTCTAGCTACATTGTCATATGTACATATAAACAAGAAGAATATTAAACAAAACAGAAAGCCAAGCAAAAATCAGTACTTATACTGATCGAATCGTCGATGTAATCATCCAATATACAGATATATACCAGTATATATGTATGTACATATATACAAATTTATGTACCTCAGCGATACGAGCAGGTTCTGGTTAATACATTCTTTKTCATGCTTCCAAATCTCTACAATATCGTTGTGAGATCGATCGCAAGAGACGAGTGCTCAAGTCTGAACACGATTAACGCTCCGCTCGCAACGAGCACAGCACAGTGCCGGAGAACCCACTACGTTGACACTGTGTCTGCTCGTATATAACATTTGATTGTCGCGAATGGAACCGAATCGCCTCGATGCCAAGTGAACTGAACTAATCTGAGTTGGGGCACACAGAGCAGTGTCCGCGCTTTTGAGTAGTAAATCGACTGCGTGCGGTGACGGTTAATTAATTCAATTAAATCGTCGTTTTACCAAAAGCCCAAAAATCTGGTAAATACTTATTAGTGATAGAACGCCACGAGTAAATAATTCTCCATAATCGGCCACAAAAACAAGCACAACATTGTTGTATGTGCTTGTTGTTGTTGTGTGACAAATAAGTCGCTTACTACCGAGTTTACAAATATTGTTGACGTAGTTACTTTTGTAGTTGTTGGTATTATTATTGTTTCTATTGTGGTTTTTGTTGTTSACTGTGAGCTGTTTGATTTAAGATTGCTTCCAATTATCTACGTATTTCCATACTCGCCTATCTCTATCGGCTGCAGATATTGGAATCTGCATTGTGTACTGTTATTTATAAAGTGTGCGCTGCTGGTGTGCCGATATTGCTCCGGGTTTCCAATAACAAGCTCAAGTTTATATTATTTTCGCATTGCTTTTGACATTGAAAAAATATACATACTTGAAGTTCAAAGTTTTGAAGTCCAAGTAAGGTGACTTCATGGCAAATAATCGTGAACGCAATTRAATGAGTGACAGAAAGGAAATAAAATCGTACTGTTTGGATAACGCATTAATTATAATAATTATAGCATAAGTAAATGTAAATAAACAATAAGCGATAATCTTAATGTTACTAAATATATTTGATTAGTTTAATTTGTAAATTTTTTACCAGTTTGTTGCACTGTAGCTATAATTTCTTTCTATTTTTTTTTTATTTTTAACAATTTTATTAAAAAAAAAAATATTTCCAAATGCGCAACAATATTTAATATCTCGTTAATATATAAATATACACACAGCGTGGCTAAACATTTATATTTTAAGCCAATGATGTTTGATTTTTTTTTTTTGTTCCCTTTCAAGTGTTCACTTAATTCATTTTCTCTSAAAATAAATGTATCCAAATGTTTCACTATTCCCAGTGTGGACGTCATCAGTTAAGGTATTTTTATTGAAATAAATTGTGATTCGAAAGCGGAGAGCGACTTGTTGCTCAATTAATTGATGTCGAAAGCCAAAGGTCTACACCATTTACACCCATAACTGTTCCCAGCCAAATTAAATAAATATTGCCTAACAATGCCTTATGCTAATATATATCTAAGTTACAATTTGGGAGATTTATTAGATATTTTTGTTGCTTTTGTTATTATGTGATTTCATATTGTGTTGTTTGGCACGAAATGAGTTCCGTTGCACTCGCTGTGACATTTCAACTAGAAAAATTGTTATTGTCAGATGATTAATCTTGAGAAGTATGCCGCCAGTATTAACCCGTTGAGCTCAACGCGCTTACAGCACATCTAACCTGCGATTACAAAACTGTAAATGTGCATTTCAAAYGTATGTGTGTGTATGTGGCTATGGCAAGACCAGAACAGGTGCATGTCTGCAGATTAGGTGTAAGCTGCAGCACGTCTGACGACACACATACACACACAGCGAAATTTACCTGTCAATGACTTGTACATTAAATAAACCTTTACCTTTGAGTCTATTTGTAGTGAAAATTCCAATTTGTTGCTGCGTTTTTGCCCAGCTACAAGCGCTGTCATCGTGTGCCCGCACTCTTCGCTCAGACAGCGCTAGTACTAGTATGTGTGGACAGCAATAGCGGCGACAACGGCYGCCGCCGCCGATGACGAATGCAAGCTACCTAAAAATTTATTTTCGGATTCTAATAATTGCGAAAAAATGAAAAATTCACACTATCCCTAGCCATTCTATACATTGCGTTGAAATTATGCTTTCATTTCAATTCAATTTTATTTTGTTGTGCTTGTTTTTGTTCCTCTTATTCATGATTTTAGTTTTTTGGCAGCTTCACATGGTTCTGWAGCATTTTGTGGCATTTTCCGCGATTTCCTCGCGCAGTGCAGTTGCAGTCACATAAGCTTGCCAAGAATTCGTCGTCTCTGCTGCGATGTTGCTTGGCAGCTGTTCTACATACAAACGTACATATGTACACACATTGCAGCAATATTAATTTTCTTGTTTTTATTTGCTCAAAATTTTTGCGGAAAATATTAAGTAATATTCAAATTTAAAGATTTTTTTTTTCAAATTCTTTTGTTATTAACAAAAAATATTAATTATCCAATAAGGTTTCCAAAAGCTTTTCATATAGTACTAATTTAACGTTGTATGAAGTAGGGCACCTTAGACCTCATCTCTTAAAATKAATTTAAGGAGGAGAGAAATTAGAATGTGAGGTAAAGGGATAATGACGATATTCATATTTTCGAAGTGGAGTTAGAAAATATTATTGAAAATATATTATGAGAAAACTGCCATCAATATAGAGATACATTTACTCCATAGTTTGTCAATTATAAACATTTCTTTGTCTCACATTCACACTTCTCTCTTTCGTTCCAGCGTAATCCAACGTGAAATAATTGTAGAAACGAGGCACATAAAACAATTTGCGGAGCTGCCACTGTAGGCCGTATAGTAGGTGCACTTACAGCCATTAGCCATGCCTGGAACGGCAATCCAGATAATAAACACATCGGAGGAGCACACTTTTGTTCTTAACGAAGATGCATTGAGCGAAGTGTTAATGCGCGACGAAGTGAAAGATCGCTTCGTATGCGTCGTATCGGTGGCGGGGGCGTTTCGCAAAGGTAAAAGTTTTCTGCTAGACTTTTTCCTGCGCTATCTATACTCCAAGGTAATTTCAAATTCACACAAAATTTTTAATTAATAATATTCAGGCCCCATATTTTTGACTTTCTCGTTCCCATTTGTAGTATGTGCGTCATGATGTGGTAACCGATTGGATTGGTGATGAGAACGAACCGCTGACCGGCTTTTCGTGGCGCGGCGGTTCTGAACGTGATACCACTGGTATCCTAATGTGGTCCGAAATATTCCTGCACGATTACCCGAACGGCGATAAGGTGGCCATAATTTTACTTGACACACAGGGCGCATTCGACAGCCAGAGCACAGTGCGCGATTGTGCTACCGTTTTTGCGCTCAGCACAATGGTTTCATCCGTGCARATATATAATTTGTCACAAAACATACAGGAAGACGATCTGCAGCATTTGCAATTGTTCACAGAATATGGTCGCTTAGCATTGGCCGATACAGGCAAGAAGCCGTTTCAACGCTTACAGTTTCTGGTGCGCGATTGGAGTTTTCCATACGAAGCCGAGTATGGCGCTCTGGGTGGCGATAAGATACTTAAGCGCCGCCTAGAAGTGTCAGACAAACAGCACCCGGAACTGCAGTCGTTGCGACGACACATTGCAGCCTGTTTCATGGAAGTGGCATGTTTCTTGATGCCACATCCAGGCTTAAGTGTAGCGACCAACCCTAAATTCGACGGACGTCTCAAGGATATCACACCCGAGTTCAAACAGAGTCTACGCACATTTGTACCGATGCTGCTGTCGCCAGACAATTTGGTATATAAGGAAATCAGTGGCCAACGGGTGCGTGCACGCGACCTCATACAGTACTTCCAGTCATACATGAGCATCTATAAGGGCAATGAATTGCCTGAGCCGAAGAGCATGCTTGTTGTAAGTAGTAGTCGCTTTGAGTTTTACCATAAACATTGCCTAAAATACGCAAATTACTTYGCAGGCCACCGCCGAAGCTAATCATTTGACAGCYGTTGCATCAGCAAAGGAGCTTTACAATCAGCTAATGGAGGAGGTTTGTGGCGGAACCAAACCGTACTTAAGCACGGCACATTTAGAAGCCGAACACTTCCGCATCAAAGATCAGGCGTTATTCCAGGTAAGCAACAAAGTATTCTGAAGCCRTCTAGAGTTCCCACTAATTATGTATTTTATTCATGCAGTTTGCATCGAAACGAAAAATGGGCGGCGAGGAGTTCTCTGAAAAGTTCCGGCAACAATTGGATTTGGATCTGGAAGACTCCTACGTCACCTACAAAGCGCACAATGAGAGCAAAAATATTTTCAAGGCTGCACGCACGCCGGCCGTATATTTTGCCTCGGCAGTTATTTGTTACGTCCTAAGCGGAATATTTGGCCTCGTCGGCCTCTACACATTTGCCAACTTCTGTAATTTAGTAATGGGTGTTGCCCTATTAACATTAGCGCTGTGGGCGTATATTAGGTAAAGGAACGCCGTAAATTGCCAGAAACTCGGAGCCATACTGAATCCGAAATATTCCATTATTTGCTTACAGGTACAGCGGGGAAATGGGTGATTTCGGTGTAAAATTGGATGACTTTGCGACGTTTATGTGGGAAAACGTGAGTTCACATTCCTGTTACTTTTCTAAACTATTTTAAATAATATTTATCTTACAAATTTTCAATTTTAGTTTATGAAGCCCATATATCAGGGTTGCATGGAGAAGGGCATACAACATGTGGCAACGCATGCTGCCGAAGCGGCGGTCGGTGGACGCACAGCCTCGTCGGCAATGAATGGCAAAGTGAAGAAGTCATGAGAATACGCCCAACGATCTCTTCAGCAACAGCAACAACAGCTACAACAAMAAAATCAACCAAATTCTAAAGGGAAAATAGCAGCAACGAAAACCAACAACAATAACAATGTGGCTCAACAGAAAATTACAAGAGCTACAGCAACAGCATCATACAGTGGTGGCGATATTGGCGACACAGCCGGCAAAACGATGATCATGCAAATATGGTCCCGTATAATAGGCGCGTCTTCCAGCGCGCAAATGAATTCTGCTCAAACGGTCAATGCAAAAGCACGCCAATACGCCACCGCAACAAGCCCGAATGGGGAGGTCAACATCAGCAGCGGCAGCGGTAGTAGTACAACAAACACAAGTAATGCGGCTAACAATCGCAAAAAGCGAAGAGCCAAAAAGTGAACGTACTGTATATAAAAAAAAAAAGATAAACAAAAGCAACAAAAAAAAAAACTCGCCCAACACCCGTCAAACCTATTGGTTAGCTAAAATGCGTATTTTCGCGCATTCGTTAATAAATATACTTACGTATAGTCGTGTTGTGCAACTCCACGCATGGAAAACAAGTTTAACTACTTTAATACTTATCGCATAGTCTATTCTCGGGCGCGTAGTATTTTGATTTTATTACGGAGTTCCACGATTAGGCCACTTACTTGTCCAGCATTTACCCRTACTCGCTAACTACTAATATAACTAATATTGTCCACACTAGCAACAGTGTTACAGTGTTAAGGAAGATATGGGCCTCGGTCATTGTTGTTATTGTACGCGAATATTAAAGATTTTCTTTTTGTTATAATTACATCTATAATTGTACTGTTTTCAATGCTGCCTTGCAGAGCCAATTGAATAAAACCTGCAAACTTTAAGAAACCATGTCAAAGAACGTCTAAACCCTTGTAATTTGTAAGCTTAGCATGAATTCGGTTAAAGAAAATACTACATGTAGATATAATTGAATTTTGAACCACATTTCTACTCAATTCTGAGCCGCTTGATGGTACATGGTCCAACTGAACTGTCCAAAACTGCGGTGTTTTACGCATATAATAGAAGCAATSTTGCGGCTGTTGATTAACGTCAGTCTTACCTTTATGCGCGTTAATAAAAGTCGTAAATAAAATATAATTATCTTAGTAGAAATAATAAAAAGTGATGTGTCATTTGTGCATGGAAAGAATTTATAGARTTTTCGTAACGATTTTTATTGTAATTTTTGTTTGTTGTCCACCTACCTGCATATTTATGTAAAATTAATAACATTAATTATAATTAATTTGTTAATAACTAAAATACTATTAATTTTACGTATTCGCACCGTTTTTTTATACGATTTTTGTCTTCTATAACTCTCTAAGAATTATTTGGTTAAGGTATTGAATGCAATGAATATACTATAAAACGAAATACAACAATTGGAAATTTTAATTTTTTGAAATTAATTGAAAAAGGAAAATAAAGTGAATAAAACTGTAAAGAAGACATGCCTTTTCATATCCGAAACACACTGAAACATCCGGTGAAAGCTAGCTTTAAGACTTATCTTCATGAATTTACCAATGTGCATGAGAGTTTCTCTGAAGGTAGATGCCATTTGTTAAGCTCTCAATAGACAAGTTAATCACCATTTAGCAACATTAAATTGCATGTAGCAATACTCGTAATACAACAAATTGAAACTACTCGAAATTGTCGTCGGCATCAACTGAWGAAAAAACTGCTTCGGCTGTACTGGTTACAACTCTCTTCATGKGCGTTTCTTATAATATAAAGTGTAAAACAAGGAAAAACGTTAACTTCGACTGCACCGAAGCTAATATACCCTTCACAGGAGCATTTCATTTAGTAACTATGTGTGCAGTTTGTATGGAAGCTATATGCTATAGTAATCCGATCTGAGCATTTTTTTTCGGAGATTATATTATTACCTTAARCAGTAATCCATGTCAAATTTCCTGAAGATACCATGTCAAATGCGAAAGCTTTCCATACATTCAGTTTGTAAGTCTGCTATATGCTATAGTTAACCGATCAGGACAATTTCTTCGAAGATTACATTGTTTCTTTAGGAAATAACCTGTGCMAACTTTTGTCAGGATACATTGTCACATGTGAAAGTTTTCCATACAAGAGCTTGATTCCGATCGTTTTAGTTTGTATGGCAGCTRTATGTTATAGTGGTCCGATATCGGCAGTTCCGAAAAATGAGCTGCTGCTTGAAGAGAAAATGACATTTCAAAACGATATCATGACATGACGGACATGGCTAAATCGACTCTGCTCAACATACTTATAATTTCTTCTTAATTTTAATTTTGAGCGATGAGTTTGTATTGCGTCTATATGTTATAGCGATCCGATGTGAACATTTGTTCGGAGATTAGAGCGCTGCCTTGCCAGAAGCTAATTTGGTGAGTTTGTATWGCAGCTATATGCCAGAGTTATCCGTTAATTCCGAATGCGGAGCTTCTGGGGAAGAAAACGACGTGTGCGAAATTTCAGATCGATACTCAAACCGTTTGACGTATATACAGAACCAAAACCAGACGGACTAMAACTAAATCGACTCAGCTCGTCATGCTGATAAATGAAGACGTTTATTTATGACTGTTTAAARTGTAATTAAATACGAAGATCCTGATCACGCATGCCACTTTCGATGCGTATTTCAAGTGATGTCCTAAAAAACCTCTTTCGAAAACAAAGTTGAATACGACTAACATGCGAAGGCTAAATTTTTCAAAAACGCAGTTTTAAGTATTTATTCGCATATACGAATATAGTTTTCAAATCGGTATTATTATCATAAATATTACACTCAGTCTAATTGCCACACTTCTTTTCTTCGCTGCCTCCGCTGCAGCAGGACTTTGGTGGCGCCCCTTCAGTCTTTCCATCCTTGCCGGCATGACAATTACACTTATTGTCCTTGGCGCACTTGCATTGTTCATCACATTTTTGTGGTGTGCATTTGCATTCTGAGAATCATGAGAAGTTATCACATTATAATAGCGGTTAGAAGAATTTTTCTTGAATTACCTTTTTCACATCCTTTGCACGGCATCTTGATTCTGGTAATGAATAGTCCTGCAGGTAACCGACTTGTTTGCCTTTACTTTTACTGACATCTTCTGCGCATGCCGATAGTTTAGTTTTAGTTGTGGACGACATATTTATGTTATTTATTTAAGGTAATCGATTATTTTAGGAGCACATCATTATAAGTATTCTCTGTTTTGAAAACAAGAAACGTTTTTCTACATATTACTAAATCTATTTTTTCTCTGACCTGTATCCATGGCAAATATAATAATACATTGACTATTTATATAGTGACTGATATTWGGTTTTGCCTAACTTTTCACCAGACTCTTTCGCTCTGCTTTGTAATCAATTTTAGAAACACGAAACTAACGTTATTTAGGTCAATGGCCTCAGCATATCTAGTATTTGACTCTTTTATAAAAGCTTTAACGAATTCCGTTGACCTAACCTATATTTAGTTTCCTTTTTAAAACAAGAAACCCTAGAAGTCGGAGTTTTTCTGAGCAAACTTTGGTATGGAACATATTTATAAATACGTCCCATAACTGTARTATCTTCAAAGACATAACAATGCAAAATGTATTCACCGTTAGATTTTTGAATGTCATTTTTGTTATTCGACATTGCTGCACTCGTAAGCTGTCCGTTCTTTTGTGTGTAATTGAAAATGCGTTTCATTAACTTTTTATATTACTTTAATAATCATTTATAATTTATAAGTTTATCTGAATAAACTTACATGTATTGTATGATGCATGTATGTATGTATATGTATTGTATACAATATTATGTAATTATGTTTAAGTGTGTGATTTAAGTTCAATTTTTACTGTGCCACTGAATTCATACAATTTGATTGATACTCGTTCGTTTCATAAATTACTTGTGTTACTTTGAGTTGACGAATTTGCTGCTAAATYTTACAAATCTTCGTGTAATTATATCAAATATGAAACGGTACTCTTTTATGTAGTTTCTTTTTACGTTTTTGTTATATAATTCGTTATTACAATTAATTAAGATAGCCTATACTAGTACGACAACAGCGGGGACACACTCGATTCGTTCACACGCAGCGGCGCAACTCGACGCAACTATGAAAATTTCACACAATTAGTAATTCCGTTTTGCTACTTCACTTTTCCTACACTTTCGACTCGAACGCATTGCATGTCATGAAAACTTATGTACATACATGTGTGTGCAGGTGTTTGTATGCACGTATGCATAATCGTTAAATTTTTCTTTATTTAAGTTAACATCTTTTCGTCCGTTACGTTTTCATCTATGGAAAATCAACATTGAAATATGCTAAATAAGAAACAAAATCGATGTAATTTAAACTCTATAATAATTTATTTGAAGGTAAGAAATGCGTCCTACACAAATGACAGATAATAAACGAAACTTCAAAAGTTAAGCAAAGTGTTAAGTGTCTTAGAATATTTGCTTGCCTGCCTTACATACATACATAATTATGTATAGATTTATTGGGCTTAAATAAAGCCTCAGCTCATCACATCTAGACTTTTTCGTCAGCTGACACCTTTTTGTTGTGAGGATTTTTTAATTAGAAAAGAGARCATTTGAGATTTGAGGAGCTC